CACACATACACAACACACGGCAGAACACACACACACACACAACACACACACGGCAGAACACACATGCGAGCACGCGCGCATGCACACACAACACACACACACGGCGGGACACCCACGCGCGCGCATGCACACACACACACACAGATTTTCTCTTATAGCAACGATAGCGGACAAGATCCGAATGAAACAGATCAAGACTAGCGCCAGATAACAGTCTGATTCACACAACAGCAAAGCCATGTGAAATCGACCCCCAATGCACACCTGGTCTACACCACATGAAGTACATTGGAATAACTAAGGATGGACACACACACACACACACACACCCACACCCACACAGACAGACAGACAGACACGTGTCACGACTCCCCATCATCGTACAAACCACAGCCAGTACGTACCGGGCAAACGCAGCAGGTGCAGTGCTGATGGGGCCCATGTAGGCTGTGCGACCTTCGGCAAACAGCAACAACCTCAACAGGTGACAGGAGAACACACACACACATACACACACACACACACACAAGAAAATGAGTAAAGGCTATGAAAAGTATGAACGGCACACTCATGACTATATCTATATACATACATGTAAGCGAGGCCTGTTAAGTATTTCCAAGAATGTCTTCTTGTGATATTCGTCAAAGAATTATGAAATTCGTCACTTGGAATATGATCACGAATAATTGTGTTCTCAGATCGATCAATCGCAGGCATTCTTGACTACGTACAGAAAGGAAATCCGAGGTGCGTTTACGCCATTTAATTCACAAGAACAAAGCTCTCTGCGCTGGCTCATGATCCATTCTTAGAACCCAAGCCTCAGCTGGTAGGTAGGCGGGAAGGTGGGTTGCTTGATGGCTGGATGGGTGGCTGGGTGGGGTAATGGATGGATGGATGGGTGGATGGATGGGTGGGTGGATTGGTGGATGGATGGATGGGTGCATGGCTGGATGGATGGCTGTCTAGATGGCTGGGTGTGTATTGGGTAGGTGGATGGGTAGATAAGTAGGTAGCATTTTAATAGAATTAGGTAACCAAACAACCAATCCTTGTCACTTTCTAGGGAACGTAATATAACATGGCTGCAGCTACTCTTACTGGTGAAAGAGCTGGAAGACTTCCGATGGTGGCTGGTGGATAGTGCAGATGATGGTTCGGCCGCTGTCGGCAAGGTTCTTCAGCGCGTTCACCACACTCTGCGCCGCAAAACTGTCCAGTCCAGAAGTGGGCTCGTCGGCAAACAGCAATGGCGGGTCGGTCAGAATCTAACACGAGAGAAAGTAGGGAGAGAAAAACAAAAAATGTCACGGTTCAAGTCAGACTTGGCTGAAGGCCAAGCTTTACGCATCCGTAGGAACATCACCATGGTAACCACCCTCTATGAATTATGTAGGGGGACATCTGTAGGAACGTCACCACCCTCTATTGAATTATGTAGGGGGCCATCCGTAGGAACATCACCACCCTCTATGAATTATGTAGGGGGGGGGGGACATCCGTAGGAACATCACCACCCTCTATGAATTATGTAGGGGGCCATCCGTAGGAACATCACCACCCTCTATGAATTATGTAGGGGGGCATCCGTAGGAACATCACCACCCTCTATGAATTATGTAGGGGGCCATCCGTAGGAACATCACCACCCTCTATGAATTATGTAGGGGGACATCCGTAGGAACGTCACCACCCATCTATGAATCATGTGGGGGGGGGGGGGAGGGGGGGAGAGAAACAGCAATGGGAGTAAAGTCCCCCTGGCCAGAGAATTCCGACCTCATGAATATAATGGCGCGAGGGGGGGGGGGGGCTATGCAGCGGCGGAAAACAAGCCGGAAAACAAGTAAAATGTGAATGTAAACGAATACGTACTTCAGATGCAAAGGCAAGGCGTTTAGCCTCTCCGCCGGATATACCACGTGTGCCAGTGATCGGACTGCCGATACGTGTGTCACGAATCTTCATCAGACCAAGCTGGGGATGATGGGCAGGAACACAAGCAGTATTGTGTGTTACAAGTCCATACAAGCGCACGCACACACGGGCACACAAACACACATATATGATGTGCATGCATACACACACACACACACACACACACACACACACACACACACACACACACACACACACCATTGGACCATTGGACGCCCATCGCCGGAGGCGATGATAGCGATGCTACAGCAGAAGCCATAGCAGCTTGTGCTCACACACACACACACACACACACACACACACACACACACACACACACACACACAAACAGTACTTCATAACTGTCATACAATGCAAAGTGAAACGTATGTTCTATCTTAGGAACACCGTGACTAGCGACCAGCCTGGTACTACAGTAAAACCTGTAACTAAAGACCACGGTGACTAGCGACCAGCCTGGTACTACAGTAAAACCTGTAACTAAAGACCACCGTGACTAGCGACCAGCCTGGTACTACAGTAAAACCTGTAACTAAAGACCACCGTGACTAGCGACCAGCCTGGTACTACAGTAAAACCTGAAACTAAAGACCACCGTGACTAGCGACCAGCCTGGTACTACCGACCACTTTGCCAGGCACGGGCGGTCTCACATTCATAATATATTATTATTTACTATAATTATGGTTGTGCGGTGCAAACCTCGAACTAAGGACCACCTGCCACTAAAGACCGCTTTCTCTGGCCCCAAAACTGAGGTGGTTGTTAGTGACAAGTTTTATTGTAGTTGGCGCCCCTAGTGCTTTCTCGGGCGCTACTATGTCACTGCTTTGACCGACAAAGTGTCGGTTATAAGGACTAGCTTGTTGTCGTGTTAATCACAATTGTATTCGACTTGAAAAGTAATAGTATGAGAGGCCTAGGCGAAACTATAATTATGGATTCTGAGCATTGTGTGCTGATATTAGTGAGGTTGCGCACAACGAAAATTCGTAAGATTTCGACTGTCTGGGTTCGAGTAACGAAAGTTGCTACGAAGATCCGTCCAAACGCGACCGAAACAGGGAAGATCTACGAAAAATATTTTTCGTGACGTGGAGTACTAAAATACTGATATTTTAAAACTCCCTGTCTTGACTCTCGGTACCCGCGCACGCGCGCGCGCGGTTCGTTGACCTACTACGAAAAACTTCACACGTTGTGCGCAACCTCACGATTTACGAATATTCGTTAGCTTTTTTTGTTGAAAATATTCCTTACGGCGCTACGAATTTTCGTTGTGCGCAACCTCTCTAGTAGCAAGCTGCATGTGCTTACCTCCACCAGGACCTTGTCGATTTGTTCCTCGCGATCCTCCACCGTGGTTGACACATCCATACGCAGCAATGCCTACGGCGTAGGGAATTGGGTTGCGGCGCGAGAGCATGCACAGAAAGACACGTGCATGCACATGCACAAACGCACGAGCACAACCACACACACACACACGCATGCACGCACATACACACGCACGAGCACATACACACGCAAACACATCCACACCCGCCCACGCACCCACACTCTAGGCGGACTATCCTGGACGAAAACTGGTCGTACATGTACCGTGTGTGTTGTAAAATGATGTGTTGTTTTCCTGTGTGATGGCATTCCCCAAACTGTCTCGTCTAGTCGCGTGCATGTGTGATATGAGCATGCGCGATTTTGTAGTCGAGAGTCCTTTTGTCAGTCTTCTTGTTCGTCCCTTTGAGTGTTGTCTCCATTTCCGTAATGTCAATAATAATTATGTAAACCAAACTAGTCTTGTCCTTTGTGTCCTGCATCCCGGGGAACGGAATGGCTGTGATTCCGTTACAACGTGGTGCCGAAACCCGGGACGCAGAGGATGAGTAAGTTTGTCATGAGTCTGTTCGTCGTCGTCAACAACAAATACAAGTAATAGTACAACTAGAGAGTAAGCGTGGGGATGGAGGAGAGACGAGGAGCTGGTGGAAGCGGAAGAAGACGCGGAGAGGAGGCAGAGAAGGTGGTGGACCGTCAGAAGCTGGGGACTGGAGCCTGGGACGGCAGGTACCGCATGGAGCGTGTGGCCGTGGCTCGCCAGAGGCCAGTGGATGAGTCTGGCATCACCGACTGTGTGTCGTACTTTGTTGTTCGTCTTGTTGTTGTCTTGCTCGCTTAATTGTCTGATCATGTTTCTCTCGCTGTTCAGTTCGTTGCTGTGTTGTTGAGTTTGGTTGTCGGTATGTTGCTCTTCTCGTCGTTCTGTTGTTCTGCATTAATTTGCGTTGTAGATTTATTTTGCGCTCCTGCGCGCATATTGTTATTTGTTGGAGCTTTGGCTCTCGTGTTTCGGTTATCCTTGTGTGCCTGAGTTTAGAGCGTCGGCTCTTGTGTTTTTTGGTTTGGCCCTGTGGTGCGGCTTGGTTGAGAGCGTCGGCTCTTTTGTCTTGGTTTGGCCCTGTGTAGTGGCCCAGTTTTGTTGTGCTACAATGTAAGCTGTTGGTTGGTTTTGGTGTTTCTGTTTTGCTGTGGTTCCTTTTGCTGTTGTGCATGTGGAACGTGGTGTCGGTTTATTATTTTGTGGAATGTCATCAAGGGGGCAGGTGTTGTGAAATGATGTGTTGTTTTCCTGTGTGATGGCATTCCCCAAACTGTCTCGTCTAGTCGCGTGCATGTGTGGTATGAGCATGCGCGATTTTGTAGTCGAGAGTCCTTTTGTCAGTCTTCTTGTTCGTCCCTTTGAGTGTTGTCTCCATTTCCGTAATGTCAATAATAATTTTGTAACCCAAACTAGTCTTGTCCTTTGTGTCCTGCGTCCCGGGGAGCGGAATGGCTGAGATTCCGTAACAGGATCAATGTCAAAGTTGACTGACTCACTGTTCTTGTACAGCATGTGGTGTATTCCTGTTTTCGTACATCCTGAGAAATCAAGCAAACAGTTCGAGTCCTTCCAGCTCCATTATTCTAGCTCGTATCGACCCCGGAGGTTTTCGAGCAGACAGCTGAGAATCTCTGCTACCTTGTAGGTGTTTCGATTGTGGAATTCGGTTGAGATTTGACTTAGTTATGACTCGTTGAGTGCTCTTGCACACATGGCATTACCACCGTTTGTATACATTTGGGACCAAAACAGTTTCAGAATTTGGGAAAAAGTGGCCGGAAACAAGGTCAGTATTATTTTGTTTTGGCCTAATGGATAATGACTTGCGCGCGCTCGTCGTCGTTCACGAGTTGCTAAAACTCCCCAACTGTCAGTACTGACTGTCTGACTCTACCCGAGAGTCGGAATATTACGACTCCACATACGTCACTACAATAATGCACTACGTAGTCTGGTCCAGTACTCATGGTACTACTAGTATAATCATGTCTTGTACTTGTAGTACTGTGACTAGTCGGTGTGTAGGTACAGTCAACTTCGCTAATAACGACTGCGGATATAACGACAATTTGCGAATAACGACCGAATTTCCATGCCCAGAGCAAAGTCCCATCCCACTGTAATACATTTAACTTCGGATATAACGACTATCTGAATAACGACAATTCGCGAATAGCGACATGCTTTTAGTGCCCCGAGGTCATATTCACTGCTTGAATAACGACTTTCTGGGCTTTTGACAGCTACATGTACTTGAGTATTTCAAGTACCTGTCAGTCAAGTAAGTTACCAGATGCAGAAGTACCAGAACCTATACTATGGTGATGGATAAAGAAAAGAAAATGCAGCCAAGGGGGGGGGGGGGGGCTTTTTCTTCCTTTTTTATTTTGCTTCAAAAGTGTTGGATTTACCAGCACACCTACATGTACATGCATGTACATTGTTAGATTGACAGCATGAAACAAGGTGGAGGACACTGTGTTCGAAAACAGTGACCTTACTACGAGGACGCAGTCTTGTTGGCTGTGGATCAATTTTACGAAGCCGCAGACCAGCACCTGCATACCGGCGTGGTGCTCATTGATATGAGCAAAGCTTTCGACAAGGTCCAACATCATACCCTTGCTCCAGGATCTCTTCGAACTTGGTGTCTCCTCTACGGCACTGGACTGGTTTGCGGACTACCTCAGCGCACGACGCCAGTGTGTGGCCACTGCCAACGGTACACGCTCGGAGGAAACCGCTTGTATGTACGGTGTCCCCCAGGGAAGCGTGCTTGGTCCGATATTATTCGCGATCTACACGAGATGTGTCGCATCAGTAGCTGATCCGGTGCGTACACTAATGTTCGCGGACGGCATCATGCTGTACCTGAGCCACGCTAGCGCTCACGCCATCAACATCACTCTTTCCGCAGCAGTGTCGGCTGTCGCCAGGCTACTCGATGCCAAAGGGCTTATCCTCAACACCGGAAAGACGCAAGTGCTTGCAATCAAAGCTGGACGGCAGGCACACCTCGACCTCCACATTACTTGCACTGGCACGCCTCTTGCCCAGACCAGTACGGCTCGCTACCTCGGAGTCACTCTGGACGAAAATCTTCGCTGGTCACCGCAAGTCACCTCTATCGTCCGACGCACGGCTACGAAGCTGCGGATCCTCCGCCAGATACGGCACTGCCTAACAGTGAGGCAGGCGATGCTGTATTACTCTGCCCTTGTCATACCGGATATTCTATATGCGTCGAATGCGTTTCTCCCAGGACTGTCCGCTAAGCAGCGGAACACAGTAGCCAAACTGGATAAACGTTGCATCCGTTGCGTGGCCGATGAGCACCCATTGGCCCACACTCTTCCTCTGTACACCAGGCTGGGTGTCTGCTCAGTGCTGGAACGAGGAGAATGCAAGCTCTGACTCCTGACAATCCGTTCTGGAATCGTCAGTGAGCTGTTGTCGTCCCGAATTGTATTGCAAGGCCCGCCGACAGGCATGACCACTCGAGGTCAATTGGGACGCAACCTTCCCCTCCCCCTGGCCCACAGTGCTTCTGGCGCATGCCGACCGCTTCTAGCCAGCTGCCGACTCTGGAATGGCCTGCCCGACTGTATGAAGTCCATAGTATCTGTCCTTGAATTCAAACGCATGCTACGCGTATTTTACTTCGGTTAAATGTAATGGCTTTCGTAACCTGCTGATGAGGCTCGATAGAATCATGCTACAATGACCCGACTTGTAAATTTGAGATCCATTTTTTTCTGCTCGTCTTGACCCTGCCTCCCCTCATTGCTACTTCCATTTTCGTATTTTTATTTTCATTTATTTTTCTCTTCATTTCTGACTCTTCTTACTGGTTGTCATCGCTTCCATAATATTGGGCAGAACTGCCCGTTTGCCTTGCGATGTAAAATAAATAAACAACAGCAACAACAACAACAACAACTACAACCTTCCGCGGTTGGCACCTGGCAGAGCCCCAGTCCCTGCGGACCATTTGAACCATATGGGTGCCGCAGGGACTGGGGCTCTGCCAACCGCGGAAGGTTGTAGTAAGGTCACTGTTTTCGAACACAGTGTCCTCCACCTTGTTTCATGCTGTCAATCTAACAATTGCGTGAACTACAACAAGGTTTATCTAATGCTGGTTTACCAGTGTTGGATTCTATCATGCATTTACATGTAGTTGTACATGATTGTACAGTAATCATACATGTACATGTACATGTCTCCTTGTCCATATTGAGACATGTACATGTACATGTCCCTGGCCCTGTAGATGGCTCAAAAGGCATACTATATATATTATTTTTCAATTGATTTTCTTTGCATATTGAATTTTTAGTGCCTTTCAACTGCAATATGAAAATAAAGTACACATTGACATAGAGCAAGAAAAGAGCTTGATTTTGATATGCGTGTCATACTATACAAAATATGGGTTCACATACATTCAAATGGGACTTCGGTTATAAGGACACTTCGCGAATAAGGACACTTTTCTGATGCCCCGCCGAGTGTTGTTGACTGTACAGTCTGTACAGTCAAGTTCGCGTATAACGACACTCGGCGGGGCATCAGAAAAGTGTCCTTATTCGCGAAGTGTCCTTATAACCGAAGTCCCATTTGAATGTATGTGAACCCATATTTTGTATAGTATGACATGCATATCAAAATCAAGCTCTTCTCTTGCTCTATGTCAATGTGTACTTTATTTTCATATTGCAGTTGAAAGGAACTAAAAATTCAATATGCAAGGGAAATCAATTGAAAAATATGCCTTTTTGAGCCATCTACAGGGCCAGAGATATGTACATGTACATGTATGATGATTACTGTACAATCATGTACAACTACATGTACATTGTATACATATAGGTGTGCTGGTAAATCCAACAATTTTGAAGCCACCATATAAAAGGAAGAAAAAGCCCCCCCCCCCCCTTTGGCTGCATTTTCTTGCATGTGTGCCTTTATAATAATAATAATATTATCTAAAAGAGAAAAGGACATATGGATACGAGTTAAGAGTAACTCTCCATCACTGTAACATGATACTATATACAGTCAGAAAGTACTGGTCTCGTCATCGTCCAGTAACAATCGACATTCTTTGTTCCGTTGGGACTGTAGCTTTTGCTCGTGTTCGTTGCGCTTGCCTTCCCCTCTTTGGTCTTTCCATAACCTTGAACCTTCCAAGTTGGAAGGCTGTCGGTTAGCGCTACGGAGATGTGTTGAAGTTAGGTGTCAGGACGTCGAATGTCTCAGTACTCTGTCAGTTTTGTGGCTAGTTATTGCACTTTCTGACTGTATATAGTATCATGTTACAGTGATGGAGAGTTACTCTTAACTCGTATCCATATGTCCTTTTCTCTTTTACATTTATTTATGGCTCAACATCCGAGTTTCAAATAATATTATCCATCACCATAGGTTCTGGTACTTCTGCATGACAGGTACATGTACATGTACTTGACTGACAGGTACTTGAAATAGCTGTCAAAAGCCCAGAAAGTCGTTGTTCAAGCAGTGAATATGACCTCGGGGCACTAAAAGCATGTCGCTATACGCGAATTGTCGTTATTCAGATAGTCGTTATATCCGAAGTAAAATGTATACAGTTAGATGGGACTTTGCTCTGGGCATGGAAATTCGGTCGTTATTGCCGTTATGGCGGAACCCCAAATGGGTATGGATTGACTGGACCAGTACCAGGATTCACACCTGGTCCTTCGCATGCACCGCAAGGCAATCCACCATCAGACGTTTATCGCCATTTAAGAAAGATCAAGATACCAACCTTTGACGGCGACAAAAAGCTATACGACACATGGCGTACGTCTTTCAACGTCTGCGTCGATCAACAGCCTCTGTCACCGGAGCTGAAGCTGTTGCAGCTCAGGCAATATCTGTCCGGTCCACCGTTGAAGACTGTTGAGACGTATGGTTACTCGGCAGCGGCCTACGCAGCAGCACTCCAGCGACTTGACCAAAAGTACGGAGGTGAGAAGCGCAAAACAGCCGTCCACATGTCCGCGCTCCAGGAAATGCCAGCAATCCGTGAGCGTGGCACAGCCAAACAGCTCGAGCGTTTCGCAGATCTTGTGCAAGTCGCCAAGATTAACTTGATTGATGCTGGCCGTCAGAATGAGCTGTCGTACGGTACGTTCTGCACTCAGCTGCAGCAGAAGCTGAGCCAAGATCTGTTAACGGCGTACCACCGGTGGCGTTGCGATAACAATATTGTCGAGTCGGTCGACTCGCTATTGCAGTGGTTAGTACGGGAAGCAGATTTCCGCACGGAAGCGGAGGAGACCCTGCAGAGTGTCTCGCATAGCGTTGCAGCCACACGTCTGATGAGCAAGCCTGCCAAATCAGACATTTCCACAGCAGCAGCTCTTACCGTCACCTCATCGAGCGTAGAATGTGTGTTTTGCGGCAGCGGACATGAGTCCTCGCAATGTTCGTCCATCACAGACATCAAGCGCCGCAAGGAGCTGATACGCAAGAATGGTCGTTGCTTCATCTGCCTGAAGAAGAACCACATGGCTCGCGACTGCAAGTCCAGGCTGAGATGTAGCAAATGTGAGCATCGACATCATACGTCCATTTGCGAACCCAAGTCGTCAGAGCAGCCCGGGACTGGCGCGAAGACATCTCCGCCATCTAGACAAGGCGGAAGTGGAAAATGGTCGAAGCCAGTGTTTTCGTCCACAACCGCAGCTACTGTCAGCGACAGCGGAGCTGTATTTCTACAAACTGCACAGACCTCGGTGGTCTCGCCTCAACGTCCATATCGAAAAGTGCCTGTGCGAGTAATGCTAGACGGTGGGAGCCAACGCTCGTACGCTACATCATCGGTACTGACTCAGCTGGACGTGCGCCGCTCCGGTCAAGAACGTGTAGTGATAAACGCGTTTGGCGGCGAACAGCCAAGCCCAAGCACACTCCGGGACGTGGTCGAACTGGACATTCAGTGCGTCGATGGCAACCGGATTCGTGTCAACTGCATCGTCGTGCAATCAGTCTGTGCACCCGTGCAAAATCAGCACACCGCAGATGTAGTCACAGCTTACGAGTCTCTACAGAATCTCAGTCTCGCCGACAACTGTGGCGGCTCAGCTAGCATCGACATTCTACTCGGCGCTGATGTTTATTGGCAGATCTTCACGGGCGACATCGTTCGTGTAGATGATGGGCCAACTGCTCTCGATACTCGCCTCGGGTGGGTTCTGTCCGGACCAACAGGCAGGTGTAATTCAGGCATCATCTCCACTAACGTCGCAACCGTTCACGCTTGCGATGTCGAACCATCTACCGTGCAAGATCCAGACAGTGCTTTGGTCCAGCTACTCCAGAAGTTCTGGCAGCTTGAATCCATCGGCATCTTGCCTAATGAACCGGACACTCTGCAGCTGTTCCAACAGACCATCCGCTACGATGGGCAGAGGTACATGGTCAGGTTGCCATGGAGGGAGGATCATCGCGCGCTTCCAGACAATTACAGTCTGTCCGAGAAACGGCTGCAGTCAACACTCAAGAAACTGCAGAAGTCACCAGAAATTCTGAAGGAATACAATGCAGTGATTCAAGAGCAACTTCAGAAGGGCATCATCGAGGAGGTGCCAACGACAGAGCACGACGTGGTGGGCGAAGTACATTATCTGCCTCACCATCCTGTCATTCGGCAGGACAAGACCACTACGAAGGTTCGTGTGGTGTACGATGCCTCAGCCAAGGTGAAGACGCATCCGTCCCTGAACGACTGCATCCACACGGGACCACCGCTGCTCGAGCAGATCACCAGCATACTGCTCCGGTTCCGAACGCATGCGGTAGCCTTCACCGCAGACATAGAAAAGGCGTTCTTGATGGTTGGGATTGAGGCAGCCGGCCGCGACGTCCTACGCTTCCTCTGGGTCGACAATCCCACAAGCGCTCAGTCGGTACTCAAGACGTACCGATTCACGCGTGTTGTCTTCGGTGTATCCGCTAGCCCATTCTTATTGAACGCTACCCGTCCGAGAGAGCCTATGCAGCAGCCATCTACATTGTGTTCACGACGGAGGTGGGCACTTCAGTACAGCTAGTCGCTGCAAAGACTCGGGTTGCGCCGCTGAAGCAACAGACCATTCCCCGCCTCGAGTTGCTTTCAGCACTGGTATTGGCTCGCCTGATGGCATCCGTCTCATCAACGTTGGCAGAGCTGAAGATTGATCAGATTCTCTGCTGGTCAGACTCCCAAGTGGCACTGGCATGGATAGCTGGAGTGGAGCAAACATGGAAGCAGTTTGTGGAGAGCCGGGTTACAGAGATCCGACGTCTCGTTCCGACGTCCTGCTGGAGCTACTGCCCAACAGCTTCGAACCCAGCCGACCTGCCGTCACGAGGAGTGAAGCCCAGCGAGCTCACTAGTACCATCTGGTACACTGGTCCGAAGTGGCTACACGAGCCACAACCCCGAGCAGAAGTCGACAGCGGCTCCGCAGCATCGCAGTGCGAAGAAGTCGAGAGAGAGCGGAAGGCAACACCTACCACGGTCATGGCAGTCGGCGCTATCCAGCAATCTGGTGCGCAGCCCGGCGCCACGCTTCCGAAGAGAGATGCTGCCCGGTCAGCTGATAAAGCCAGACAGCAACTGATTAATGCCGGCTCCTTATAGAGCTGCAGGAGCAATATTCTGTGTTCGATGAGAGCATCACGTTGCACCATGCTCTGTACTCTAGTAGCATCACGCTGTTGTAGGAACGAGTCAGGTACATGTAGTACACTAATTTCTAAGCTCTCATCTGGAGGGAGTGTGGAATATTGCATGCTTGTCAATAGTGCATGCTTGTTAGACATTGCATGCTTGTTAGAGATTGCATGAATAAGAGTATTGTCACAAACTAATGGTTTGCACCAAGCATACATACAAGCATACAAGCAATCGATTATACAGTCTTCTTTCTTCTTTCTTCTTTCTATCGTGTCTTCTAAAGTATTTTACTTACCTTTTGCGCCATGGGACGCCTACGACGTTCCCATGGTCTTCACGTACGACATACGGTTTTCTAGCCCTTTTTCCTGGAGCTTGTCTCCTCGTGTCGTTTCTGTTTCATTGGTTTTTGGTTTTTACGTTGTCTAATGATAAGCAACAGTTTGTTTGAGTCTAAGAGAACCCAAGATGCGCTCGCGTTGAGCCAAAGCAGCCTTACAATATAACCTTTTGTAAAAAATACTAAGCGAGTGATAATTGTAGATATTGCCATGAATGAAGTCATAATGGTGAGTCGGCGTAATTCCACAACCGCTTATGGACGCTAAATGTGTCGTTGCAAAGGTTGTTTGTCGTCCCTGAAACGAACATTGTTCTTTTCGTTCTCAGACCCCCTCCCACACACCGTCGGTAATGAACACAGCTTGCTAATGTGTATGCCGAATATGGCATGCATGTACATGTAGTATAGAGGTGAACTGCTTATGGTCACTGTGTACATATATAGAGAGTGAGTGGCTAGTGCACTACTAGTGTATCATATAGCACTGCACATGTACTGTGTATGGTGTTTCGCTTGCATACCTGTCCTAGAGATAACTGCTTCAGAACTGCATCACCATTCTCAAAGCAGAAAGCTGTGCCGTTGCCGCACGAACCTGCTCAAACACAAACAAATGACAAACAGAGAGTAAAAAGTGTTCATAAGTTTGATAAAGTTGAAATAGTGACTGTATTGTTTTTATGAACACATCCCTGCTGAGATGTACATGTAGAGAAAAAGATAAAACAAGACACAGGAGATGTAGGGACCAAGTGTCAATGTCTTGGAAGAAACTTTTAAACATGCCAGAGGTCTCGAGGTTAGCGTTGAAATCAGGGATGGATAATGTACCTAGGTGTGCGTGTTTGCATATCTGTGTGTGTGGTGTGTGTGTGTGTGTGTGTGTGTGTGTGTGTGTGTGTGTGTGTGTGTGTGTGTGTGTGTATGTGTGTGTGTGTGTGTGTGTGTATGTGTGTGTGTGTGTGTGTGTGTGTGTGTGTGTGTGTGTGGTGTGTGTGTGTGTGATGTGTGTGCAGGGGCGTCGCACACGGTACGGTCACTACGGTATTGGCCGTACCACTTTTTGCCCCAGGTACCCCGTGAATCAATAAAATACACTGATCTGGGAACTTAATTTCCAAAATTTTCGGCTCTTCCACCACTCCCCCACGAGTAAATTGTAGTTCGGATGGCTGACCGTACCACATTAAAATACCTTCCGTCGCCCCTGGTGTGTGTGTGTGTGTATGTGTGTGTGTGTGTGTGTGTGTGTGTGTGTGTGTGTGTGTGTGTGTGTGTGTGTGTGTGTGTGTGTGTGTGTGTGTGTGTGTGTGTGTGTCCCATATGGTGCAGTGGTATGTGCAGCGATTTCCAATCGAGAGGTTGCGGGTTCGATTCCCGACGATTATAGTCACACACGTCTTTCTTCTGTTTCTCAGACTTCTCCTGACTTTTCTTTCATTCTCCTGGGTGGTTACCAACAGCCAGTGCATGCCGGAGTATGTGATGTGATGTGTGTGCGGAAAAAAATGAAAAAAGACCAAAAAGTAGGGATTCACTGGCCAGAAAAAGCCACTTCATAACTGTGTGGTGTAGACCAGGCTGAATAGTGGCGGTCAATTCTTCAGCCTTGCAAGTTGTCGAATGGTGCAATCCCAGCACAAGCTGCTCTGGCTTCTGCTGTAGCATCGCTATCATCGCCTTCGGCGATGGGCGTCCAATGGTCCAATGGTGTGTGTGTGTGTGTGTGTGTGTGTGTGTGTGTGTGTGTGTGTGTATGTATGTGTGTGTGTATGTGTGTGTGTGTGTGTGTGTGTGTGTGTGTGTGTGTGTGTGTGTGTGTGTGTGTGTGTGTGTGTGTGTGTGTGTGTGTGTGGTGTGGTGTGTGTGTGTGTGTGTGTGTGTGTGTATGTGTGTGTGTGTGTGTGTGTGTGTGTGTGTGTGTGTGTGGTGTGTGTGTGTGGTGTGTGGTGTGTGGTGTGTGGTGTGTGTGTGTGTGTGTGTGTGTGTGTGTGTGTGTGTGTGTGTGTGTGTGTGTGGTGTGTGTGTGTGTGGTGTGTGGTGTGTGTGTGTGTGTGTGTGTGTGTGTGTGTGTGTGTGTGTGTGTGTGTGTGTGTGTGTGTGTGTGTGTGTGTGTGTGTGTGTGTGTGTGTGTGTGTGTGTGTGTGTGTGTGTGTGTGTGTGTGTGTGTGTGTGTGTGTGTGTGTGTGTGTGTGTGTGTGTGTGTGTGTGTGTGTGTGTGTGTGTGTGTGTGTGTGTGTGTGTGTGTGTGTGTGTGTGTGTGTGTGTGTGTGTGTGTGTGTGTGTGTGTGTGTGTGTGTGTGTGTGTGTGTGTGTGTGTGTGTGTGTGTGTGTGTGTGTGTGTGTGTGTGGTGTGCTTATCAACATCATCCGGTCGTCCACGGCCCCATGTCAGCATCGGTGCAGTTCAACAACATATAGCTGGTACCGGTTACACCAATAAAACAATCCCACCGCTGCCACCAATTCTGTAGCGCCGCTGACATCAATGCAATACAGATACTAGGTGGGTTCGAATCTAGCAATTATAAAATTGAACCACCGCTGCTACCAATTTTGTAGCGAATCCCACCGCTGGCACCAATTCTGTAGCGGGCCGCAGTCTCTCTCTCTCTCTCTCTCTCTCTCTCTCTCTCTCTCTCTCTCTCTCTCTCTCTCTCTCT